AATCTGTCTGACACTCCTTGCTGTGTATTCGTATCCTGCTGGATGGTTTCTGGAAAGCTGGAGCAGGCTCAATCCTTGGCTGTGTTATCCCTTTTTAAGGAAGGTTTTTTTTTTTTTTCTTTTTCCATGGCCACATTTTGTAGAGGTAAACACTTTTAAACATTTCACAGTGTGGATTTTAAACAGTTGTAGGGATTGGCTGGGTTTTTCTATCCCTCCTCAGATTCAGGGAGAGAGGCTGCACAGATTTTTTTCCATACATCTTATCTCTGAAATCAGCTTAATTCCTTGGGCAGGGATATGGACGGTCCCAAAAAATAGTGCTTTTGGGCATCAGTTTCTACAAATAATTTGGATTTTTGCAGCAGTGGTGACCCAGCCCAAAAAGGTGCCACTGGTTGTAGTAGCTTTGAGCTGGGCTTATTCTATGAGTAAGTAACAAGTTCTCCTCTCCCAGGACCCTGTGTTTTTCATTCTGTAAACTTGAACTCTCTCTGTCTGCTTGGTCAAGTTCCTGTGGGTGTTTCCCTCCTAAATATGGAGATTTAGGTTATTAGTAGTAGTTGTTAATTCCTGATGGGGGAAACATCAGAAAAAATACTCCTTCCTCCCTTTAGTATTGGCATGTTGAAGAGTTTTGCTGCAAGTTTTGAGATGGAAACAGCTAAATGGTCTTGCTTATTTTTGTCACTCCAAAGTGTGTTTTTTCTTTCCCTTTTTTGCAATTATCTTTCAGCCTGTCCAACCAGTACGTTGCTTTTAATTTTCCTTACTGATCGTTTCAAACGGTTTTGCTTCAAAGCTGTGGTGGTGAACAGCCTAAAATTCAGAATTGTGTCAGTAATCTTTAAACTGAACTCTTAATTTGTTTATTTTTCCTGGCCCACCTCTGTCCCTGGGGGTGGTTCCTGGGTAGCTCTCCTTGACCCTCAGGTTCCTGCAGGCTCCAAACTGGGCCTGCACCACTACAGGGAAGGCTTTGGTTTCTGGAAGCATCCCTGGAGAGGGATCTGTCAGAAGTTTTTCCATCTGCTCCTAAATTTTTCCCTTCCTTTAAAACTAGAAAGTGGCTTTTCCACATTGAGATGAACCCTTTTGGGATGAAGAACAACTTTGTGTTCCAATATTTACTGTACGTGCCAGAAGGTACAAACCCTACGTGGGGAATGTGTTGCTCTGAGGAAAGAGCCTGGGATGAGCATTCCTTGTGTTCCTTGGAAAATGGGAATTCCTGTCAGGATAACAGCAGCCTGTGCTGCAGGGTTTGGTTATTTTACTGCAGGCATTGCAAAGCACCCCAGAAAGGATTGGGGTGGAAGGGACCTCAAAGCCCATCCAGTGCCACCCCTGCCATGGCAGGGACACCTTCCACTGTCCCAGGTGGCTCTAAAAACCTGGCCTTGGGCACTGCACAAGCAGGTTTTTAATGCATGAAGTGTATTTGTAGGCAACTTGTTAAGGTTCTTTTTGCATGACTTCTGCAAATTCGAATGCAATTAGCTTCTTCCTCCTGTTGCCTTATTAATTACTGTGATAGACCTAAAGTGATTTGGGACAGGATGTATCACAGAGGATTGTGCCCTCTTTTTAAACTCTTCATCAAGTCTCCGGCACATTTGGTCATTAATCTTGCAGGAAAACAGGGATGGCTGGGTGCCAGGCTTGCTCTGGAGGGGAAAGATGGCAATAACTGCTTTCTACTCTGAGTGACCCTCTGAAGGCAGAGACATCCACTCCAGTGCTAAGTAAATATTCATGGAAATCCTCCTCCTTCAGACAAACTCATTTAGAAACAGTCCTGCTGCCTTACAAATGTTGTAGGTTATTTTGTTTGTGCCTTGTTCCTATTAGAAACCTGAACCAGAAAGCACAGAAGAAATAAGAGCTAATGGAACAGCTGTATCTTGTTTAAAGCACTTCCTTGCCGTGGCAGGAGTGTGATTTTTAACCATTTAAAATACTTTTTATTCTGTGTTACTGGGTAGATTCCTGTGTTCACACATGTGGGATAGCTGCTGCTTTGAAATAATGGTGATGATTAAGGAATGGCATGGTTTGGAGAAGCGTTTGAATAATTTGTAATAAATTTTTATTTGAATAATTGGGAACTAGGAGTTAATTCATGTGTTTTTGGGCTGGTGACAAGGTGGGGATTGGGCACAGGCTGGACTTGATGGTCTTGGGAGAGCTTTTCCCACCTGGGATTGGATATATGAATAAACACAATAGAAAAATATCCTGTTTATTTGAAATGGCTCCTGTGGATTACAGGGAAAGAAAAGATAATAATAATAATAAAATAATGTGGAAGTTGCTGAAAGCCTGGCATGTGTGAGTGTGTGGGACTGGCAAGCCACAGCAGTGCATGAATAATTTTTCTGAATTATTAAGAGTGATGAAGATTCTCTCACAGGGAACAATAGAGTAGCTCTGACGTTGTATTTTTAGGACCAACTCATTTTCAAATGTGTCAAACTCTGATTTTTTCCTACTCTGTTCTGAAAGATGGATAGAATATTTCCTGCTGGAAAGGTTGGGAGCTCCCAGACTGTGGAGGATGGTTTAGTCTATGGTGGGAAGGGTGGAAGGAGATGATTTTTAAGGTTTTTTCCAACCCAAAACAGTCTGGGGTTTTATGAAATACTCTCATAAATAAGCAGCTGCCTTGCCAAGGTGGTTTTGCCCTGTTTAAGGGCAGCTGGAGGTGCTTTTCTCACAGGCTTTGTAGTCCAAGCCTCATCTTAACCAATTATCCCTGCTAATAAAGCCTATTTTGCTCACATTCAAGCATGACTGAGTTATTATCCAGCCCTTTCCTTGTGGGTATTTAATTTTAGGATGCTCAGATGTGGCAGAGATGAAGCTGTGTTTCATTGATGGCCCAGCCAACGTGTTTTCCTTCATGATGATGGATTTTGTGGGGTGGTTAAAAGGGTTTGGATGACCTGGGGGGGACTCTGAGCACGCTGTGATGTTCCTGTGTTGAGGACAGAGACTGAATCAAGTGATTCAGATGTTCTCTTACACATCTGAGATCATATTATTATTAATATAATATTGATAATGTTATTAAGCTTTTGAATTCCCTAAATTTTTTCACATTGGGTCAGTTTTGCTGCTTCTCTCCCAGCTAGAATCATAAAGGCTGGAAAAGACCTTTATTCTCATTGAGCCCCACTGAGTTTTCCTGTTCCTTTGCTGTTGTTTGGACCAAATTTCCCAACTCCTCCTCAAATCCTTCCCCATGTTCAATTCTAACAAAGAGAGCTTTGTTTTGTGCTGAGCATCTCTACATCCAGAGGGAAGTTTGACTTGGGCCAGGAATTCCCCACTTTTGAGTCTTTTTGGGTCTTGTGACTTTTGCAGCAGCTCCACTTGAAATCCTGACTCTATCAAGGAGAAATGAGATACATTTGGAGCCTTGGAATGAAATAAAAGCCTGGAATTGGAATGCAGGTGGACACGATGAACACAATAGCTTTAATTAGGTTTTCTCTGGTGGCCAATTGGGCACCACCAATAAGGAGCTGGTTGTGAGGAGGATTTGACAGAAGAGCAGACAGGAGCTGAATCAAGGCACAGCAGGGAGAGCATCCTCTGGCAAATGGAGGAAATGGGGTTGTGGAGCACCTGGTCAGCCTGACAAATCCCCAGCTTTGCTGAAAGGAAGGTGTGCCCCAGGTGCAGCTTTACCTGGGGGTCCTTATTTGCACACAGGGGATGGCTGTGAGGGCAGATTCCAACTATCAGGAATGGTTTTGTGGTGTCCTGAGCCCACCTTGTCCTTGGCAGCCTGGTCCTGTCCCCTCCTGCCCTTCAGCAGGGTCACTTCTGGTGGCTTCTGGTGTCCAGTGTTGAAATAACCTCCAAACTATCAAAGGAATAAAAAGAATCTTAAACATCACGGAGCTGGCAGTGTGGTGGGTGGAACCCTGAGCTGCTGTAATCCTGTGCAAGGCTGGGCTGGTGTCAGATTAAGCTCTTTTTGGGCTTAGAGGTGGTGTTTTAAAAAACTTTTATTCTGTTTTCAGTCTTAGGACAAGAGTGAGACAATACAGATGTTATAATTAACGTCATTACAATCAAAGCCAACTATTTTTTAATTATAATACACTCTAAGTGTTCATAATCATAATACACTGCAATGCATTTTTCATAGCTCCATTTTCCAAAAGTATCTAGTCTTCTTTGCAAGGCCATCCTTTGAAACTTGTTTCTAGTTCCATTTCTCTCTCAATTATTTCTGTCCTATTCCAGGGCATTTCTAAGTCAGCATTTCTTTTCTCAAAGTTTGCATACAGATGCACACACTATATAAGCCTTCAATCAGGCTTTGAGAATTCTCTACAAATCCACTTCCCACAGTTTGGGTGTCCCCAATTCCCATTTAGGCTCTTTTTCAAGAAGACAGGACCCATTAAAGCGTTTTTCTTTGAAAACTTTGTTTCATACTCATCTTTGCAGCAGTTAAATCCCTCCTGGCTGCTCCAGGGTGAGGAGGGAAGGGCTGAGGAGCTGCTGTCCAGCCTGGAAGTGTTTTAGGAGCTTCACTTTTGGTCTAGATCAGGATTCAACATTCTCAGTTGTCCACCTGCACAAGTGGGTTTAGGGGTTTTGTGCCAAATGCCTCCTGTGGTGATTAGAATATAAATACTCAGAGAATCTCCATGCAGTGTCACCCTTTGGTGTGCTCCAGTTTGTGTAATTAATAGGAAATATAATAAACCAAGTAATAAATCTGTTAGCTTCTTGTTTGTGCTTCCTTTCAGTTTTGTGTATGGAAGATATTCCAAGAGCTGTGTTATTGTAGATGTGAAACTTGTAGCTAAAAGGGGATTTTGCAACTCCACAAAAATCTATTTTTATTGCAGTGCTGGACATGTCTAAAGTTTATTTACAACAAATAATTGCAAGTTCACATCTCTGTAATTTTTTTCTTTGAGTTTTCTGCACGTTTTTAGGAAAAATACTGAGTTTTTAAAAAAATTTTTATTCCCCAGGTCCAAGGAGCTAATAAAGGAAGCAATCCTTGACAATGACTTCATGAAGAACCTGGAATTGTCCCAGATCCAGGAGATTGTGGATTGTATGTACCCTGTGGAGTATGGCAAGGACAGCTGCATCATCAAGGAGGGAGATGTGGGTTCCCTGGTCTACGTCATGGAAGGTAGGGTTGGGAAAAATCTGATTTATTCTTTTTTTTTTTAACACTTGGACACAAAACCTTTCGTGGGAAAAGCGGTTTCAGAGAAAGAGGTTGTCTAAATATGGTTGCTAAAAATTTGTATGGATTGCTTTTGGCTGGAAAATTCTGCCTGGATTTGTGTGCCTGCCTGGCTAAAGAAGGGAGGTGAAAGCTGTTAACCCTGCACTGGATTAAACCTCCCCTAAGCAGCGTTGCTGTGCTTGGGGGTGATGGTTTGCTGGAAAAATGAGGATTTTAACAGAAAGAATGGAGATGGGAAGTGGCTGTGGAGCAGGGAAACGGTGCCCACAGCTTCCTCCCAGGTGGAAATGTGGGCATTAAATTTTTTAGCCATTTTTTGCATGGATAAATGAGGATTTTAACAGAAGGAAGGGAGATGGGAAGTGGCTGTGGAACAGGGAGAAGGTGCTCACAGCCTCCTCCCAGGTGGAAATGTGGGCATTCATTTTTTTAGGAATGGAGATGGGAAGTGGCTCAAAGCCTCCTCCCAGGTGGAAATATGGAATTTCATTTTTTTTAGCCATTTTTTGCCTGAACACATGAGGATTTTTAGCCATTTTTATGACATTCATGACATTTTTAGCCATTTTTTACATGGACAAATGAGGATTTTAACAGGAGGAATGGAGATGAGAGGTGGCTCACAGCTTCCTCCCAGGTGGAAATTGGACATTCATTTTTTTTAGCCATTTTTTGCATAGATAAATGAGGATTTTTTTAGCCATTTCTTGCATGGACAAATGAGGATTTTAGTAGAAGGAATGGAGATGGGAAGTGGCTGTGAAATAGGGAAAAGGTGCTCAAAACCTCCTCCGAGGTGGAAATACGAGCATTCATTTTTTTAGCCATTATTTGCATGGATAAATAAGGATTTTAACAGAAGGAATGGAGATGGGAAGTGGGTCACAGCTTCCTCCCAGGTGGAAATGTGGACATTCCTTTTTTTTAGCCATTTTTTGCATGGAAAAATGAAGGTTTTAACAGAAGGAATGGAGATGGGAAGTGGCTGTGGAGCAGGGAGAAGGTGCTCACAGTTTCCTCCCAGGTGGAAATGTGGGCACAGCATGGATAAATGAGGATTTTTTTTTTTAGCTATTTTTGCATACATAAATGAGGATTTTTTAGCCATTTCTTGCATGGACAAATGAGGATTTTAGTAGAAGGAATGGAGATGGGAAGTGGCTGTGAAATAGGGAAAAGGTGCTCAAAACCTCCTCCGAGGTGGAAATACGAGCATTCATTTTTTTAGCCATTATTTGCATGGATAAATAAGGATTTTAACAGAAGGAATGGAGATGGGAAGTGGGTCACAGCTTCCTCCCAGGTGGAAATGTGGACATTCCTTTTTTTTAGCCATTTTTTTAATGGATAAATGAGGATTTTAGCAGAAAGAATGGAGATGGGAAGTGGCTGTGGAGCAGGGAGAAGGTGGAAACGTTGGTACAGCACACTGGGCTCTCCACAGGAGAGATTAATTTTCATCCTTGGGAGGATGGAAAATAATGTTGGTGCATCCTGGGCATCTGCTTGGTCCCAGGATGTGCTGGGGTTTCTCATCCAGCTTTGTAAAAATCTTCTAGCACTTGTTGCCAATGCTCTGCCTTTCCAAAATCCCAGCTCCTTGTGTTTGGTGCTGCTTCCCAGGTTGTCTCGCTCTCCATGTGTCAAACTGAGCATATTTTGTGTGTATTTGTGCTTTTTATTGTTAAGGAAGTGCATGTCAGAGCTGTCAGAGTTACTGAGCTGGATCAAAGCTCGTGTGCATCCAGAGTGGCTGATCCTGAATTCTCAGGGAAATATCCCTGTTTTCCTTGCTGCTGTGATTTGGTACCACAATAGATAAAAGCTTATCAAATTCTTCTTGCTCTTCACCAGAACTCAAACATTTTGGCCAGATAACGCCTTTTCACTTGCTCATCTATATTTTAATATCTTCAATTGTTCTTTTAAACAAAAAATCTTTCCAAGGCAGTAAGCCATCCTTTAAACAAGCTTTCCTGCCAAATTCCTCATGCTGTATAGTTGCAAATACTCCTCACTGCTTTCCCAAAACAACTTGAAACTTCTGTCCTTTTAAGGTTAAGTCCTTTCTCAAGGCACAGGTTTAATTCCTCTGCATTTTCATAGTTTTGAATTTTGCACATTGAAATGTTTTTTCTGTGAATTATGTTTCCATCCCCAGGTTTAAGGTTTGCATGGCAAGATTTGAGGTTTGCATGGCAAGATTTGAAGGTTTCAGTCCTCTGAATACAGAGACTGCTTGGAGGTGCACAATCTGTTTTGTTGATGATAAAAAACTGCTTTAAAATCATCCTTGAATGGTATTTTCTTCCTAGTGGAAATGTGGAGGATTTGCCCTGTGCAGTTTTGTGCTCACTTCTCAAATTCCCCCCACACCAGAGGTTTGCTCATGGGATTTTTGCTGCCCTGCTGCTTTTGGGATGTTGTGTTCAGTGCTGTCCCTTGAAAAAAAACCCCAAAGAACAGGACATGTTGGAATCAGGGTGTATTTATCTCCTGCTCAGCCTCTTCCCATTTCCCGGAGAGGATTTTGGGGATGATTTAGGGGCAGAACTGTTTCCAGCATGGTTTGGGGTATTGATACTTCTTACTACTCAGATCACCCTTTACTGCTGATAAATTTTATCATATTTATGGTCTTTATTTAGCCTTGTGGTGATGAGTGTGCAACAGATGTGTGCCAGAACCAAATTTTGTGTTTTCTTGGCACTTGAGGTTTTCCATGTTCTCCTGGCAGCCCTGTGTGTGTGTGAGGGCACGACTTAGCTCTTCCCTTGGCTTTGTAACTTAATTTAAGAGTATTTAGATAGCTCCCTAAATATGCATAATGCCTTGCAAACCCAATTATGGAGAGTTTATAGTCTGTGTTTGGACATAATGCAATGAGTGATGAAGTCATGGAAATGGGAGAGGACATTATCAAATAGGTTATGAGAGCTCATTTTGGTTCATCATTCTCTGTCCTCTCAATTATTAACACAATCAACCCAAATAAAAACTGTTCTTTGCAAAACTCTTCTGGAGAGACCCATCTTTGAGTATTACTGAGAGGTGTTTTCTGAAAAATCAAATAAATTCTGTCTCTTCCTTCCATTAATTCCTTTTCCCTTCCTTACTTGGGCTCTGGCTGTTCTTTGAGCTGGTAGTGACAAAAACCAGAGCTTTGAGTCAGGAGCTGAAGCTGAAATTTCTCAGCAAGCAGAATCCTGAATTTAGAGCTTCTTTGCTTTTAATAAGTCTAATAAGCCTTTTTAAAATTTATTTTCAAATTTTTTTTTTTGTATTGTGGAGTGACTTTAGCCACAGTCTGTGTCTTGCTGGCCAAATTCCCACCTCTAGGGGTAGGAGGGCTCCTGGTTCAGGCTTTCAGGTGCTGGCCCCACCACATCCTAATCTTTAAAACATTTTATTTCTCTAGTTTCACCCTCCCAGTGCTGTTCCTTCAGCCCTCTGAGAACACCCCTTGATTCCCTTTTGTTCAAAAAGTAGCAAGAAACCCCCTCACCTTTTCCTTATTAACTGAAATGGGTCAAGAGATGCCCTAAACCTTGTGCAACACCAAAAAATTTCCCTTACAGCTGTGCTTTGAAGGTGGGAATGAATGTATTTGTGATGTGACAAGTCCCCATCAGGGGCTGGAATTGCTGGCAGCATTAAATATCCCTGCTGTGCCCACCTCCAGCAGGAACATTCCCCCAGGCTGTGAGACTGGGAATGAAAAAAGGGGCATCAGTGATGCTCTGCCTTAAACTATCCACATTGAAACTCTCAGCTCTGCAGAAAAAACAATTGTGAGATGAAAATAAGTTTATTTATTGGATAGATTCCCTTTCCTGGGAGAAAGTTTGCTGCTCTGAGAGGGGTTCAACAGATTATTTGTCTTCAAATTGAGGGTTTTTAGAATGAAAAAAAGTTATTGTAAATTGACCATAAATGAGTCTGCTACCTTGATTTTTTTTTTTCCTTAAGGGAAAATACCCTAAATATTTCCCTGGATGTGTTTAAAAAGAGACTGGATGTGGCACTTGGTGGTTAAATTGAGGTGTTGGGGCTGGGTTGGACTCGATGATCTTCAAGTTCTCTCACACTGATTGTGTGAATTCTGTGCATTTTCCAAGTGATATTTTTGCAGGATTGCAGCATTTGCTGACTTTGCAGCATTCCTAACATTTTGCTGAAGGAACTTAAGGAAAGCACAGGCTGGGGAGGTGTTTTCAGAGAGCTGCACCTCAGAACTGGGCTGTGCTGACAGGGCTGGGGCTGTGCGTGGGTGCTGCCTCGCACTGATGAGGATGAATGTGAAATCTCACCTCCGACCCCAAATGTTTCCTCTGGCTGAGCCACCCAGCTGCAGCCTGTCAGGATGGATTAGGGCAGGAGGATCCTGTGCAGAAATCAGGTGGCAAAGTCCAGGTTTCAGGCTCTCCTGTGAATAAACAGATTTTTTTGTTGGAATAAAATTTAGAATAGAATAGAATTTTTTTAGTTTTTTTAAGAAATTTTAGTCATAGGTGTAAAGAGTCCTCCCTTTAGGGTTGGTGCCATTCCCATGAAGAATAATTGGAAGAAATAATTTAGTGACAGAGGGGAAAGGGAAATTCCTTGGATTAACTCTTTTGTGGCTCATGGTTTTGTAGGCTGTCAGGTTGTATAAGGGCAGGAAGATCCTGTGCAGAAATCAGGTGGCAAAGTCCAGGTTTGAGGCTCTCCTGTGAATAAACAGATTTTTTTAGAATAAAATTTGGAATAGAATAATTTTTTTTTAGGTTTTTTAGGAACTTTAGTCACAGGTGTGAAGAGTCCCCTCCCTTTAGGGTTGGTGTCATTCCCATGAAGCATAGAAGAAATAATTCTGTGACACAGGGGAAAGGGGAATTCCTTGGATTATCTCTTTTGTGGCTCATGGTTTTGTATTGTCAGTGGATGCTGCACATGAATTC